TAAACACTGATTAAAATCAAGAATTATGATAACTGTGTGCTCCCAGGTGTCTGTCCTCTTGACAGACTGTTCTATAACTCTGCTACTTTAAGTCTAGTTACTTCATAGGCATAAAGAGCAGTTTCCTCAATTTCCTTTTATTTTGAATAACATAAATTTTGCAGGTTTCTTCTGAGCTAGTCCACAATCACACTGTTGTGGGGTCAAGACAGGCTTTGTTCCTGAAGTTACTTTCAGAATGTAGCAACAATTGTCTTAATTGCAATGAAATCTTTGTCCTTATCTTGCCCAGTAGATGGTAGTGTTGTCTGTTTTTTTCTAATTTATTTTAAAGCTATGTGTTAAGATGTGTGGGTTTTTTTCTTTTTTGTCCTTTACGCTTCAGTTACTCTTTTTTTTTTCCTGCCTGTTCTCCCAAACAATATTTTCACCTTACATGAAAAGGTAGCAGCTTTTATTCTGGTTTGATCTCTGTGGGTACTGATGAGATCATGTATACTTAAAAGGCACAAGTAACAACAAATGAAGATAGTCTGATCTTTATTGCTCTCAATTAAACACAGGCTACAGTGGAAACTTAATTTGAAACTAGGTTGTTTATATTTCTTCGCAACAAGCTTGAGTTTCTAAGAATTAATCTGCAATACGGTAGACATTTTGTATTGTTTGCAAATTAATTTTTATCCCACAGTGACAAATACACAGAGTATTTTTGTGAAATGTGGAGAAATAGAACTGGAAGTCCTTCTGACATATAATTCCCCCCACATAAAACTAGAGTGCCTTCCAGCCTGCATGATAAGGCAAAGAACTTCTATTAGAAGTGGAAAGGTCCTAAAGCCACTGGAGGAAGGACAGCAGAAGTCCACCTGCAGTGTTATGCTTAGTCATGTTCACTGAGAAAAAGTGAATTTCCATGGTTAACCCCAGCACATGGTGAGCAAAGAATGATGGGCTGTTGGAGTAGAAGTTGAGTACCATTTTCATAAGAACAGAAGGATCTTGTGCTTCACCTAATAAAATCAAGTTTGGAGGTACATAATTCCTTGTTTCAGATGTATACCCAGAGAGCAAGTGCTGGCCTACTAGAGCTGTGTAATTCGCAGGGTAATGTTGGGTTGAGAACAGACGGGTATAAACTGACTATGAATAGATGTAAATGAAAAGTTAGAAGAAGGTTTCTCAAGAAAGACATTCAGGAATGGACTTTCAGTAGAGGCACTGGTAACAGAAAATCTATCCGCTTCTCCATCGCAGCTCAAACATTTATGAAATACTTTGTATGACACTATTGCCTGCAGTAATCAAAGGCTTCGTGTCAGTGACTTACAATACTTGTGCCAGTCCTCTGTAAATTTTAATGCAATTTTAATTAAAAAAAATGTTTATTGATAGTAGTTTTGATCCCTGTAGAAGAATTTAGCGTGTAGACAGACAAAAATGGTCCAGAAAGTATTTATGTTTGATTATTATTTATTTAAGTCTTCATTTCCCTCCATGTGTTCTTTATTTCTTGAATGAATATTAAAATATTCCTGGGGATTAAATTAATGGTCATATAAAATGAAGTCCTGATATATCAGGGCATCGTTTCCTGGGAGTGTGAAAAATGTGTCTCGGCTCCGAGTGGAAGGAATCTGTAATGATGTTTAGATGGAAGATGCTGTTTAATTCTCCATTGATCCTTGTGGAAACTGCTAAAAAAGGCAGTTAAGTAAGTTCTGTGTTGTATACTTCCCCACCAACAGTTGAACTCATCCTACCAGCTCAGTTTATTATATATCTGTGTTAAAAGGACTGCAGTAACTTGAAAATGTGTATTTTTGCTCTTGTTGCTCACCTGTACATGAAAGTTTGAAAGCTAAATTTTCTACCCAAATGGTATATTAATTCATGTTTATCTTACAGTAGATTTGCTCATGAAAGCTGTTGAGGTTTCTTTCTCTTCTTTGCCTTCTGCTCTTTTAAGATGATTGGCTCTACTGGATGGGATAGAGAATTATCTTCTAAGAGGTTACTTAAAATTTGCAAATAGACATTTGACAAAAGTCAAGTGGATTAAATACATACCCAGCAAGCTTTATAATTTATTCTCTTTAAAACACTGAAGTGGCAAAAAGCAAGCTTCTTTGTGAGATTATTTTAAAAGTATTTGATAATGGCCTGACTTTGTTTCCATTAATGGGAATTTTACTGTTTACTTTAATGAAGGCAGGTTTATGGAAAATCCCTTCATCCAATGCAAATTTATATATTACTGAAAGAGTTTTGTGAGTTAAATTTTTACTTCTCAGAAAGCTGTGGGTCCATCCTCAGAAGTTAGCTCAATAGCACTTTTTCCTTCACTCTGTTTCACCTGCTGCAAACTTCCAGACTGTCAAGACACCTAGGGAAGTACATGGGAAGACTGCTTTTACTATATTTTAGCTTGGATCACCAAAACTAGAGGGAATATTATGACAGAACCTTTACCTTTAGTTTTTTTGTCACCTACTTTATAAGTAGCTTACAAAAGTGTTGAATTTTTTTCATAGACACATAAACCACCATTAATCTAGATCCCTTTTTGTCATGCTTCCAATAGTAGACACTAGCTGGCACATTGCTCTGGCAGTTCTTATCCTGTCATGGCTTTGTGTAGCATGCTGCTCTGTATATCTATTTATCCCATTTTTAAGCAGTTAACCTCTGTCACAAGTTTTTTGTGGCTTTTCCTCCCCAACTAAAACCAGAGTACAACTCCCCAGGTCTGAGGCATTTTTCCAGTTAGCTATGGAGAGCTCAGCATGCCCAGTAACACTGAAGCTATAGCTGGGGAAGCAGTGAGCAGAAACAGGCATATCTGCTTCAAATTTGAGTCGGAACAGGAGTTGGAGGCCTCTGACACTGACAAAGGGGAGGCTGCTACCAAAACCAGGAGATACAGAGGTCAGAGAAGGCAGTGGCCTGGTAGTGTTGTTTTGCCCTCCTGCCCGCTAAGGCAAATAGCAAGTGGTTACTGTCCAACGCTGAGCCCATCTTAGTGTGCTGCGGAAGAGCTGCTTCCTTAATGGTTTGGCTCTCGTTGCCATGAACAGCCTTCAGTGAAAGGGTAGCTGGGAGCAGCTTTTGCTGCAGTCAACTCTTTCATTGTTTGATACCTGTCAGTCAGCCAGAAGAGCTGGCAGTCTGCTGCACTAGGTAGGGTGACATCCTTGCATACCCCAGGAAGCCCTGGTGAAGGAAGAACATATGTATAGTGTCAGGGCTGAACATCAATTGGATAATGCAGAAGGCTCCTAGGTATTAATTGAACCGTTCAGAAATTCTGTTGGTGTGTGGATGTTCCAACTGATACTGTATGAAGGTGCAGGAGAGTGTTTCCAGAAGTTGGTTAGTAACCTCTCTGTGATCTGTGTGTCGGTTGGTGGGCCGCAGCACTGTCTTTTAGTCTGTGATCATGACCTGCTTGCTGAGCCAGCTGTTGCAGAGTTAGAGCTCTTGGCATCAAAGCACAAATAGCAAAAATGAGCTTAACCAAAATAGGAACCAGGCTGGGCACATAAGATGCAAGGATCCTCTTCTCAATGGTAACTCCACTGCTTTTCTTTGGCTGGAACAGCATGAATGTCTGTCCCCAAACTGGAGTGTGAGCGGGTGGTGTTACTGCATTTGGTTGCCTTTCAAAGCTGAACTCCTGGTCTTTCAGTCCAAGACGGATTTATCAGCAATTTGTCCATGCTGCGTATCTGTTGTGGGCGTGGCTAATCACAAGTAAAAATCTTGGCTCCAGAAGTCATACGACTGTGTGAGGTTCTCTTCTTCCTCTCCCTCCTGTCAGCTTATTATTTCTGAGCTGCTCGCATTCCTTAGGATCTGGTGGCTCTTTGCAAATGCTGAGACTGGATGGACTGTATTAGTGAAAGCACACGTTGTATGTATGTATGTCATGGGGCTCACCTTTGCTTTCAGTTAGGATGGCTCAGTTTTGGTACTATACCATAGCTGGTTCCAAAGTGAGTGGGAGTGATTCATTCTGCAGCCTCTGGAGGCATAGAGAAGATCACTGTAGTGCCAGGCAGTTGGTCCCCTTCTCATTTTCCCAAGGCAAAGTTGCCTGACAAGAGAAACAGAAATAGGCTTCATGCTACTGCCTTGAAGGAATATTCTCTCAGGTGGGTGCTGGGGAGCTTTCAAAGACTCTCAGGCATAATTTTTCCTGTTGATGTCCGTTGGTGAGAGAACCTCGCAGTTAGAGACCTGTCCTCTGTGACAAAGCTCAGAGAGTTACACCCCTTCAGAGCAGACTGTCATGGACAAAATGCTGCCTTGAGTTCAACCCATGTAACCAGCTAGGCCTGCAAACCAAATAGTGACTGGGAAGCTGAAGTTTATTTTCATCTGGTAGTGCTGTAATCATTACGGCATTTGGAAGACGCTTTTCTGCTGGCAGCAGGATGGATATAACTCGTGGTGCTCCTGTGTAAGCACAGCATGTGGGGTATTGTTGAGTCTTGCTTCTGGCTGACAGTAATATCACGTTCAGCATGTAATTAAACAGCTCATAAACTGCCTTGAGATGTTTGTTTATGTGCACTCTGCAGTGGAGAGGTACTGTGTTTTTGGAGGATGCTGAAATTTCTGTACTCTGTGAAGCACTTGTATTTGACGTTCCCTTTTCCTCTTGCTGGCAACGAAAAGCATACAGTTTGGAGATTTTCCCATGAATTTCTATTACGATTTTTTGATTCTTGTCTGTAAGTTAGATGTCGGTCTGCATGTGGATGCATCTGTATCAGTATGTATTGCAAATCTGTGTTTTTAGATAACAAAATGAGTTTAATTTTGCTTGATAGAAACAAGAAAGGCTTGTTTCCAATTTCTTGGGGATAAGCAGAAATATGTAGAAATTAGATAATATGGTGAGGACACCATGTAAAAACTATCTTGGTGAATACAAGAAGACTCCATGAGAGAGTATTAGTAAATTTTTACTATATGCCATTTGTTTTGTCTTACAGTTTAGAGTGAATGAATTTGGGGCCTTGGAAGTGATTACAGATGAAACGGAGATGGAAAGTGTTAAAAAGGCAACTGCTACCACAACCTGGATGGTTCCAACTGCTCAAGAAGGTCAGTTAAGAGGTGGTAAACATTTTCTGTGGTAGACTGTATTTTGTTTAATATATCAATTTTTCTTAAAGATTGCCCCCCAAAATGAAAAAAAACCCAACCTTACTTTCCTTAATGCACAGAGTATCTTTGATGTTGTTACTTGTTTCTTGGGGCATGAATAAGTATGAAAATAAATGCATTTTAAGTTAAAAGGAAATAATTCTGCTGTTAAACATCTGAAGTTCAATTGCAGTCACATTTTTTTCTAACAGTAATTTTTTCTAAGTTTAGAATCAGTATTTTCCTGCTATTTAATTTGAAAAATAGTCAATTTTTTACTTAAAATTTTGGAGAACTTTTTAGATGTTATTTTTGTTGAGCTGGTTCTCCAGACTGCCCACAGACTTTACTAACCGCCTACAGTTCATTTGTGAGTGAAGTACCACTCACAGTAAAATGCCTTCACATGACACAGGCTGTTGATCAGTTGCTACCACCAATGTCAATGTATGTCTGCACTGTTGCCTTACTCCTGCTGACTAAGTTTTCTTAACGGTAGTAAAATTAGTATGTAGTAACCATTTAAATTTATCTTTAATTATAAATTTCTAATAGTTGTAGTATCTGTCTACCAAATAAGGTCTTTCCTGGATTTAAAATACTGATGTAAGGAAGCACCTTTTTAGTTCAAGGAAAGTTTGTTTACATGGTCATAAATTCTGAAAATCATAGAGTCAGAGAATCATAGCATCATAGAATGGCTTGGGTTGGAAGGGACCTTAAGGATCATGCAGTTCCAACCCCCCTGCCATGGGCAGGGACACCTTCCACTAGCCCAGGCTGCTCAAAGCCCTGAACAACCTGGCCTGGAACACTTCCAGGGAGGGGGCAGCCACAGCTTCTCTGGGAAACCTGTTCTAGTGTCTCACCACCCTCACAGTAAAGAATTTCTTCCTTATATCTAATCTACTCTCTTTCAGTTTACAACCATTACCCCTCATCCTATCCCTACACTCCTTGATAAAGAGTCCCTCGCCATCTTTCCTGTAGCCCCCTTTAAGTATTAGAAGACTGCTATAAGGTCTTCCTCGAGCCTTCTTTTGTCCAGGCTGAATAACCCCAACTCTCTCAGCCTGTCCTCATAAGGGAGGTGCTCCAGCCCCCGGATTATCCTTGCAACCCTCCTCTGGACCTGCTCAAGCAGGTCCATGTTATTCCTCTTTTTGGGGCCCCAGAGTTCAGCATAGTACTCTAGGTGCAGTCTCACAAGAGTGGAGTAGTGGGTAATAATCCCCTCCCTCAACCTGCTGGCCACATTTCTCTTGATGCAGCCCAGGATGCAGTTGGCTTTCTGGGCGATGAGCGCACATTGCTGGCTCATACGCAGTTTTCCATCCACCAATACCCCCAAGTCCTCCTCCACAGACTGCTCTCAATCCACTCACTGCTCAGCCTGTATTTGTGCTTGGGATTGCCCTGACCCATGTGCAGGACCTTGCACTTGGCCTTGTTGACCTTCATGGGCACAGGCCCACCTCTCCAGCCTGTCAAGGTCTCTGCTGGCATCTCCCTTCCCTCCAGTGTGTTGAGCACTCCACACAGCTTGGTGTTGTTGGCAGACTCACTGAGGGTGCACTCAACCCACTGTCCATGTCACCAACAAAGATGTTAAACAGCGCCAGTCCCAACACCCACCCCTGAGGAATGGCACTCGTCACCGCTGTCCACTTGGACATCGAGCTGTTGACTGCAAGTCTTTGAGTGTGACCATCCAGCCAATTCCTTATCCACCAAGTAGTCCACCTGTAAAATCCATGTTTCTCCAATTTAGAGACAAGGATGTTGTGTGGGACAGTGTCAGATGCTTTGCACAAGTCCAGGTAGATGGTATCAGTTGCTTTTCACTTATCCACCAGTGCTGTAACCCCATTGTAGAAGGCCACCAGATTTGTCAGGCATGATTTGCCTTTAGTGAAGCCATGGTGGCTCTCATCAATCACCTCCTTATTTTCCATGTCCCCGAGTATAGTTTCCAGGAGAATCTGCTCCATGATCTTGCCAGGCACAGAGGTGAGACTGACAAGTCCTGTAGTTACCTGATTGTTTTTTATATTCTTTTTAAAAAATGAGGCTTATGTTTCCCCTTTCCTGTTCAGCAGGGACTTCACCAGTCTGCCAGAACTTCTCAATCTTCATACACTTAACTAAAATCTTAATACATTGACTCCAGCTATGATGGAGTAGTGTGAAAGAGAATATCGCAACTGGTTTTGCGATTGCTTACAAGTACCTAGTTCTTTTCCCTTGTTGTTATTTTATCAATTTTCTTTTAAACTATGCATTCTGTAAGTCCTTTGAAAAGCAGACTTCAAAATTTTGGTGTAATAATCATCAGTATAAGCAGGATAAGCAAAGTCAGTGAAAGTTTTCCTTTGCTACTCCCCCAGCATTGTCTTAATTGTCATGTGACTTTTATGAATAGGTGAACCTTTCACACCAGTGAGAGAGTAGTTTGGGCCTCAGCTGCAAGGTCTGAAGCTTCAGATAGACCACAGCTACTCTGTTCTGTAGGTCTGTCTCCAAGGCAATGGTAGTTATTCAAGATTCAAATCTGTGATGAGAGTGGCAACAGTGTGATAGCATAGTAGCACAACAGGTACTTAGACTCTCCTTAGACAAAGAGATTACAGCTATCTACAGTAAAGCATACAACTTCATCCCCTACAGTCTGGTAAACCTAAAAAAACTTCTAAAATGTTGCTACTGAATTAAAGTGTGTTTATGGACACATAAACATACCAAGTAAGCATGCTACTACTACCTTACACTGTCCTTCAGTAATTTATTGGTCCCAAAAGATAAAAATATTGCTAAAATTCTCCATTGTGAGAGGAAATAATTGTTTTGAACCACCAGTGATACTGGAGTGTATATGTAGCACATAAATGATATATTCTTCTAGTGGAGATAGTCTGCATACAAGAGTTCATTTGATTCCACTTTCAAAGACAGTATAGTGCTCAAGCAAAAGAAATAGTTTGTGACTTGAAATTTGCCTTTTAGAGGGGTCTAAAGTCAGTGACCTGCTCTAGAAGCTGGAGAACTTGACAGTACTTAATACTTGCCTGTGAGTGAAAGAAACGGCAACTTCTCCTAGGCTACATGCCTCTTGTGAGAAAATTGTAGCTTAGGATGAGTGGATAACTTAGTATTTGAAAATTTCTTTGTTACAAAGTAGTGATTTTTTACTTCTGGTAGACCTCAGGTTGAGCAATAGCTGCTGCTGTGAGACTGTAGAATATAGTCAGTGATTTACTTCCAGAAATACATTCACCTGTTGAAAGATAACTGCCCCCTCAACCGTTTTCATGAATGACCATATATATAGGTCGAAAATGAGGCATATCAGCAGGAGATGAGGTGATGGTCTCCATGCAGTCATGACTCTGTGGGCAGTCAGTGTGGTGCCTGTCACAAAATTCACTCCTTCCACAAGTAGCCACATAAAGCAGTATCGATGTGCCACTGATGACAGGGGCATGAAATAGATGGATTCCCCTCTTGCGTTGCAATATGAAAACCCAACTTGTTTGTCAGGAATATGGACCCCATACAGGCACTAACTCCCAGTTCTTCATTCTAACAAGAGTGATGTGACTTCTGTTTTTCTGTTTGCTTGGCAAGGCCTGCTGAGGATGGTTGGAAATGTATCACCTCTACCTAAGTGAAGTTACTTTTTTCATTGTGCAGCCTTTTCAGAAAAGACAGGGATACCCACAAGGTTGAAGGAAACTGCAAAAATGGATGGACTTGTTTTCTGTGAAAACTGTTACCGCTATGGTACCATAGAAGAATTTGTTCCTGAAGGGAAATTTTGCAGCCAGAAATGTGCCCAGCAAGTAAAAAACAAGTAGGTGCTACTATAAAGCATAGAAACAAAGAATTTGGCATAAATGCAGCTTGAGATAAAAGTGGTGGGATAAAACATTAATGGTGGGCCAAAGGGAGATACTAAGCAGCCATGCCTTGGTGACTCTCCATTGGTTTATGATTGTTTTTTTACTGTTTTCATGTAAATGCATTAACAATGTTTGGTTTTGTCTAACACTGGTGTTAAAGGCAGTCTTTTTTGTCCAGTGTGCTGTGTTCTCCTGTCAGATGCAAGTGGTAAAACAGTCTATGGGATGCATGAATCAGTGTCAGACTCCCACCCTGTTTCATAATCATTGAAATTAAGATAATCAGTAATGAGATGGTTGGTGTGGTAAGTTTATTATAATTAAATGCAAGATCTGTGTTATAGATGACAGTGAGTGAAAACACGAGCATACTGTAGTTTCTCAGTTCCTTTTCTTTTAGCTAGTGCAGTTCATCTCATCATAAAGAAGGTTTGTGTTAGTATGTCCGTTCTGTATTGCATATTACTGCATTATGGCAGTTTTTAACATCTATGATTTTGTTTGTTTTCCTTCATTTTTAGCTAATTGCTTTAGAATTTTCTGTTCTGATTGCTTGTTTAGCAATTTGTACAGTCACATACCAGCTTTCTCCAATTGGATTAAATAACAATTACCTCTTTTTTCCTCTTTGTAAACTGCCCTGCAGTCCTAAATATTTCACAGTTTGCTTCTTCCTGAGACTTGATGGTACATGAGAAAAGACACACTGTTTAAAACATGCAGAACTTGTTCAGTGTAAGCTGACAGCTTTCCCTTTGCAGTTGCTATTGTGTGTCTTTCAGATTGATTCTTTTGACAGATGTAATTTTCAGCAGTATTTCTAAGAATGCATTTGGTATAATACCTTGGGACCTACAAACACTTGACCTTCAGATTTATTCATTTTTTACTTGTTTTATGAACATGAGAAGTGAAGTAATATTGGCTTTGTGTCATTGTGTTACTCTTGTACTAGAGAACCAAAGGAGGAAAAGCCCAGTGTGGAATGTAATGGGGAAGATGATTCCAAAGGCATTCGTAAAAGAAAAGCAAAGTTACCTCTCAAAGAAGAATCCAGGGATAATGGGGAGAAGAAAGAGAATCCTGATGAAACTGTTAGTATGCATCATAAACACATTCCTGCAAGTATTTCAGTGGGATTTTTGCCTTATATTGCTATGTCAGTAACTTTATCATTCTACAAAAAGAAGTGACAGCATCACTCTCAGAGCCACAATAAGTAGTGGATTCACTTACCAATTTAATTATGCCTCATCAGTAAATTGTAATTATGACAATGAACTCATAAGAGCTGGTTTTTGTCTCTTTTCCCTCCTTTTTTAGAATCATAGAATCATAGAATCATTCAGGTTGGAAAAGACCCTTGGGATCGAGTCCAGCCATCTGCCCTACTCTACAAAGTTCTCCCCTACACCATATCCCCCAACATCTCATCCAAACGACCCTTAAACACATCCAGGGATGGTGACTCCACCACCGTTCTGGGCAGCCTATTCCACTCTCTGACCACTCTTTCTGTGAAATTTTTTTTTTTCACAGAACAGAACAAAAAGAATTTTAAGAACAGAACAAAAAGATTTTTAAAGAAAAATTATACTAACCTAGACTTGCTATGTTTTCAGCATAGAAAAATAGGAGTACGTATTTCACAACACCTGTTACTTTGTTACTCTGCACATGAATAAATTACTATAGACCAGTAATTTATGTACAGAGAAATCTACATTACAGTTAAGAAGAGAATACTTTCGGTTTTCTTAGTGTAATTTGCCTTTAGGAAATCATAGCTAAAGATTTTGTTTTGTTTTGTGTTGCAGTGTAATGTGCTTTGGAGCACCTTTTGGTTTTTTCAATGCCTTCCCGTAATGTTTGTTTTCCTATATTTGTTTTCTTCCCAATAACTGTGACACCTCTGAGAGGAGCACAGTTTTGAGGGAGAAGGAGAGTACTCTGTAACTGCTGAATTGTCAAAAGGCTGAAGACAATAGAGTTGTCAGAAGGGAATTTGTAGCTCTCTGTATAGCTGTATCTTAGCAAAAGTCAGGGGACACCTTCTTTGCCTTCTTGCATCTGCTCTCCCAAGTGAGTACTTACTCTTCAGCTATTCAGATGTTAACAAAACTGTTAATATGCAAACAATGAAATAAATAAAAAGGATCAGTGCTATTTTATATTTAATAAAGCAATCACACATTTGAAAAAAGCAGACTAAAACTGTGAGAGGTTTTCCTTGAGATTATTTTGGAAGCATGAACATATCAAAGATAGTGCTATTTATCTCGGGCTCAGCCAGGCCTGCTGAAGGCTTTGTGATCTGTCCCTGGCTTAGACAAGACTGGCTGGCTGAGTACTGGGTGTTGAGAGTCCTTCTGTCCGTCATTTTTACTGTGTTTGCTGTGATTTGTCACTGATGGCTTGCTTTGTTTTTATTAGACAGCTGCAGGTTTGTTTGAGATAGCAGAGAGCCGTGTCAGTGAAGTCACAGTTAAACCTTGAATGTCTCCATTTTTACTTTACTAGACTTCTGAACTAATGAGGTTACTGTACTCTTTTTTTTAAATTTAGGAGGACAAACCTGAAGGAAGGATCTTGAGAGTCTCACAGAGAGCCAGGAGAAAAAGAAAAGGGGAAATAACAGTTTTGAAACAAAGTAAGTTAGATTATGAAACAAAAATCTCAAATATCAATTATTTAGGTAATATCCATGTCTTAGTGTGAATTGCCAGCATTTTTTCACTGAATTTGTATTCCCTATCAAATACATTTTTTATCAATTGTGTAAAAAGAGAGTGTCAGTGTTATTCATAGCAATTAAGTTTTAAGGATTGAAGAACTGAGAGAACCAAGTGAAAACAGGGAAAAAACCCGTCACTTGGAGATTGATCACCTTTTACAAAGAGCCAGTTTGTATATGTCAGGCAGCAGAGAGGAGAGTATAGCGGGTGTAAAGGTAATTGATACACATTTTAGGGCTTTTTTTCATCCCTCTAAAGAGTGCTGGTATTAAGAGGGAGTCAGGCCTCTTGAGTTCCCAGATGTTGAAAGACATGTATGAAACAGAAGTGAAGGTTTACTTTTGTTTCCTTGGGGATCAATTTTGTATCTACAATGTGTTCTGGAAATAGACACATTTATGACTGTTTAGGAATAATTGCTGTAATCAGTCCAAAGGGACATACGCTGCATCAAGTGGCATAATAAAACGTATTTTAAATGAGTGTTGTTTTTTCAAGCTATTTGTATGATAGATACTTTCAGAAAGAATCAGAGAATCAGAAGCTATTGCAACTCAGTGGTATACCAAAGAGAAACCTACATCTTGCCCTCCAAAGCGTTTCTTGTGGTAGACTGGGAGCCATTACCAGAAGTTGCTGAGCCACTAATCAGCACAGAGCTCCAAGTAACTCTGCTGCACAGTAGGCAGATGAAATACTGATCGAAGGTGCATCACATAAAAGTTATGGAAGATCCCCCTCCCAAGATAGAATTACTCCTGAAATGTAAATATAATTTCTACAGTTGTTTCCAAAGCAGAGGTGATAAGAAGCATGCGAAATACAGGCACAAAGCCAGTGCTCTATGAAAATCACTGCTGTCCACTGACAGAATGAGCTGTACAGATTTCTTCTGGTTGTTTTTTTTTTTTTTTTTTAATTTGGAAAAATCTCAGTTCAGCACAAGAGGCTTGGTATAAAAGACTAATTTATATTCAGAACCAAGCACATAACTCTGCATTGTTGTGCTGAGCAACACATCTCTAAAGTGGAATACATAAAAACTGTGTAAATTACAAATAAAATGAATCTGCTTTAGTAGTGTTGAGCAATTGCTCTCATTCTGAAATTTGTTATCTTTTGGTTACATTATCAGCTTTCTTCAGGCAAGTTTGGCATTGCTGTTGTTATGGCTCATATTTTAATCATAAATATGCTTAACCAGACTGTTACTTAAAGGACTAATTTCTCTTGTGAGTAGCCCACAGTCAAGAGAATTGGGCCAGAATCATACCGTAGACTGTGAGGAATTCTGGCAGCATGAGCTTATGGTCTGAAATGCTAAGCTGCCTGTGCAGAGGAGGCATTTTAGGTGAAGATCAGTAGAGCAGAGTGGAGGTGTATGAAAGTAGATAGATACATGGCCAGCCTCACAAGCCATCTGTTTTTGTAGTTCCTGGCTTTTGCTAGTGCAGTTAGTGCCTTATTTTCAAGGCCTAAAAACTGTTACTCACTGATGTGACTGTAGCCAGTATTACAATTACTATGCAAGTGTATGTGAGGGTTCATACTATTTGAAAAAAACTGAAGTTGGAGGTTTCTGTCATATGCTAATGACATGATGGGGGGAAAAAATCACTGGTGACAGTTTTGCTGGCTTGGAGAAATTACTGTTAAATCACTGCCTCTCCTCCCAGAAACATCAAACTACGAAGTGATGGAGTAGGTTAGAAACATTCTGAATACTGTTAAAGAATAAAGTATTTCAACCATGATTAAAAAAACATGTCACAAGTGCTACCCAGGTGAAAATGCTTTCCAGGAAAATAAATTATTGGAAAAAAGAATTTGAACTCATCTTTTTATACATTTGAAAATTGTATGTCTTAATGCTTCTTATGAGCAAAAAGGAAAAAGGGAAAGGAGGCAAAATACTCTTAAGTTGTTCTTGTTACCTGAAAGAGCTTTTTCTTGTTACTAATCAAGATCTGAACTGCTGGAAACCTTTCCATATGAACCAGGAACCTTCATGTTCCTGGTGCCATTAAAGCAACAGAGCTACTTCTTTTCTGGGAATCAGTCCTGATAAATAAATAATAAATGTAGATTTGAGATAGGTATATTACAAACTTCAAAGTGTTGTTTCTTTTTTTTTCTTGAGAAGTTAACAGTTACGGAATTCTTTTGCTGTTGTGTGATTCTTTACAGCTGTACCCTCTAAAGGAAGGCAAGCATGGTGTTGGGCATCCTATCTGGAGGAAGAAAAGGCCATTGCAGTACCTACCAAGCTTTTTAAAGAGGTATGGCCTTCTCTAGTTAAATCAGTCAACCATCTAAGATCATGAAATCAATTTAGAAAAATAATTGAAGAATTTACACTTCTCTGGGGGAAACCTACACGACTAAAATAATGCTATCCATCAGTAATTGTCAAGATAGTCAGAACATGTGAAATTAGCTAGCTATCTTTCTCTGCTTTTTCAGAGAATTCTGTAGTTGTAGATGAATGCTGTCAACTGAGACTACAGAAAGCAGATACTTTTCCAAAATCTGCAAGTTCTAGCCTTTCTTTCTGATCTCTGAATCTGATACATACCCTCATTTTTGCATGCCGTATCATTCTCTTCAAACATGTTTAGAAAGGTGGTACAAAGGTCATCTTTTGGCTTGTTGCTTTGATTATATTGCCTGTCTTTTTGCAGTTCCTGCTGACAAGATTATTTTGTTACTACATCAGATACTAGTTTGGCTTGTTCCCCTTTTGCCTGCCTTCTGACTGGATGTCACATCATCATCTCTTGCTTGTCCTTTGCCTGCTATGGTGGTCTTTGTCATTTGTCATTTCAGTGCTTTCTCTAGTTCTGTCTTTCTTGCTTGGAAGAGAATGCTGTATGCAAATCCACAAAGCTTCCATGCTGTTCTCTTCTCTTGAAAACCTGGCAAAACATGTGAACATGTCTCAGCTGCTGTACTTCTGCTATGTATATCTGATATTATTTTTTGATAATTCTGTTCTTACTTGTAGTCTGTTTCTTGCATTCATTTCTTACTGTTTGCTTTATACTTCCAACTATTAAATCTTTTGTGCAGGGATTTTCTTTTCAGTTTACATGTGCATGTGATGCTGACTTCTAATTGGTGCTTTTAGACATTACTGAGGTACAAAGTAAAGAACTAGGATTGTGATGTACAGAGTCCATAGATTTGTAGGTGCAAGAACAACAGTTACCCGATCATCCTTATATATATATCCCCCTGTGCTGTATACTGGTTGAAAAATTAACAAGAAAAAAGTCTGGATAAGTAGTGTCTCTGTTTGGAAGGTAGATTTACGATGTGTTGCTCTGCCTGTCTGAAGTTCCATGAAATGCTTTTGAGGCACACAGGTACATACCAGCCTTTCTGGGCACTGCAAATGGTGGTAAAATCTGGAGTTATGTGATGACATACTGTTTTCTTTATTTTTGTATGCGGTGTACTTTTCTCATTCAGTGCATCTTACTTAACATTTTCTTTTAAAGTCTTTAACACCCTGCTAACTCTAGGATTTTATTTAGTGGGCAGTATTTAAAGCTTGTAGTGGAGAAAGGTTTCTTAATAACAGTCAGAAGTGGCCAGGTAATATTTCTCCATTTTACAGGTGGACAAGCAGGCCATGGGAACACTAAGGTTAAAAAAAATCCCAAACATCCCTACTGATTTTGAATCCTTGATTTCTGTCTGGATTGTGAGAATTACTGGTTTTTTTCTCTTTATTTTTCCAGTTCATAAGGAGTACTTTTCATGAGGGCTTTTCATACCCTTAGTTAGGAATGGTCTGGATAACAGAGTCCTTGCCACTTTGTGATACTTAAATCTTAGAGCCATTTTTAGGCTGTGACTGACAAGCTGTTATTGCTCCAGTAAAACAGAATTATTGATCCTTGAATTTTGTTTTTTTTCAATCTCCAAGCCTCCTGAGGTAATCTTTTGGGTTTTGTCTATATTCTTGGACCATACATAAACATTTTTAATCCTCAGACTGCCATCTGCTCATTTGCTGACTCCTTTTACCTTTACTATTATTTTGTTCTTGTACCTCTCCTTAACAAAGTATCTTTAAATGTTTGTTGGAAAGATAATGTGTAAATACTAAGTTTGTCATAGTTTTACCCTGGGTGATATATTGAGAATAATGCAAAAAATTGAAATCTTAGTAGTATTAAAGTTATCAGTCTTCTAAAAATTGCGAGTTATTTTGCTGTAACAGAAACCAAACTAAAGATTGTGTTGCCTTAGAAGTTTTAGATTTAACAATGGGAAGAATAGATAGTAATTCATGTCTTAAATTTCAGGATATACGTGTGTGATAATTGCTTAGTTTTTAGTGTATTGTTTGTAGAATTTTGTAGTGTTTGTACAGTAATGTGTATTATAATGAAGAATAAAGAGATCTATGACATTTTAATTGTTTCCTTTCTTTGTAATTTTATTTGTGCTTGCTTTTGCAAAATCTCAGTTACATTTTTGGCCACTGTTTCTCAGTGTGTCAGTATTTCTAGCATTTCAGTTTTCCACTGAGGTTTTTTATCTGTGAGTTATTTATGACATAGATGGCATTAACCGCAAGTCTGTGCACCAAGATGAACTTTAAAAATTTCAGTTCATTTATTAAAAAAAATACTTTGCTTTTACATTCCTCTTGAGGAAGTATCTAGGATTATGCATAATGTAACTTTATTGAACTTTCTTTGATAGTAAAAATGTTGTGTGGTGATGTTAGGATGATAACTTTTCAAATGCAGATACTGCAGTCAGATACTCTTGATCCCTTAACTGAGATCTACAAAAGGATCTAAGCTAGTTTTAGATAGGGACTTACAGCTATGGTTAGACACCTATTAGCTGGCCACTTTAGGCTGTTTTAAACTGGTCTGGTTCTCCATTTTCCCTCCCATTGACTGTATATTCCTGCTATTTGTGCCATACACTACATTTTTTCCTTCTGGGTTTAATATACAGTTATATCAGTTGCAGCCAAAACTACCAAAGAGGGGATTCGCTTCCTTCAGAATAGGTGAGACCTCTCTGAGTACCTCCCTTGGTACCCTTCTCTTTCCATTGATTGCAGAGGTCCTGCAGTTGGCTTGGGAGCATGTGTGGCTTTTAGACAGGAACAGAAGGAAGGGGAAGCACCTAAGATGCTTCTCCTACATTTTGTCTGTAACCGTTTGAGACACAAAAACTGGCTGGCTCTGAATTTGTTAACCTGTGGAAAATCCTCTTCAGTTTTAGTCAGTTATTTTCCTGATATTCCTTCCAATTCAGCGTTACTATCTGCTAGCTTCCTTTCTCCTTTAACAGAGGGCATGATACAGGGGACGCTGATGCCTTCTGATTGAAAACACCTGTTCTGCTTAGCCTTATTTTCACTTCTTGTTTTTTCTAAGATGTTCTGGGTTCATTGTAATGTCATATAAGGGTAGTCATGTTCCTGTGATGCAAAAATATTCCTGGAAATACAGCTAATCTGGATTAAACATAAGTCCAACATAAGAGAAAATGACATCAAAGAGGCTATCCCTGTATACAGTGTTTCAGATTTTTGCCTTACAGTTCATCTTCAATGGCCTGAGATACAGAAGTGAAAAGGCAAAAGAGAGCATCATTATTGTGGTTATTACGGGAATGATGACCACCAGGAGGGTGTCAAAGAGTCACTGTACAGACTGAAATAGAAATAATTATATTGATAAAATGTTTTATTGACAGTGAAATAGTTGAGGTCAAATCATGTCATCTTTTTTTCCTTGATTACCTTTTCTGATAATTCTTTATATTTTTCTTACATGCTCTCCAAGTTTTAGTCATTTTAGTATCAACGTGTTTTTTGAACAGTCATCAATTTCTCTTTTCCACTGTGTGTTTTTAAAAATGTGAAACTTCTTTTACAGCAATTTATTAATTATTTCAGAAACATGAATAATAAATAATCATTGTTCTTTTCCTTATAAAGATACTCTGTCTTTCTCTGGTGTACGTTCAGAAGTACTGAAACTGTTCCTTTCCATTGCAGTATCAGTCTTTCCCATACAACAAAAACGGATTCAAAGTAGGGATGAAGCTGGAGGGCGTGGATCCCGAGCACCAATCAATATACTGTGTTCTCACGGTGGCTGAGGTAAGTAGAGGCTGTGAGCAGCCATGGTGTGGGATTACACGAGAGACTGAACTGAAGCAGCAGCAATCGAAAGTGCTCACTCTTCCCTAACAAACAGACAGAAACTGTATGTAGGAAGATGGCTTTAAAATTAATAACACTGACAGACATGTAAAGACTATATCCAGTGCATGCAGCAGTGACTATTTACATATAGTCAATATAGCAGCTAGAGAAAACAGTATTGCACTAGTTGGGTGATGTGTGTTTTGTCTGTAATCCTGTGGTTTAAATCTATATTTAAAAGAGAAAATAGAGAAAACATGACAACTGATATATAGCAGTTTTATAGAAGTTTGGTAGTATTTACAGTTGCTCCATTCACTGATACAATTACCTAACACTTTTTTGTCTTGCAGTTGTGCTATAGTTTTTTTCAGGCTCGTGGCCTCAGAAATTGCCTGTATTGGCAATTCTGCAATTTAGTATACAATATAAACTCAGTTTGTCTTTTTGCTGCAGTTTATGAAATAACTTTTCTGATGAGTCGCTTCTTTGCTTTTGATAGTATAAATGAGAACCCATTTCTCAGTTAGGTTTTTTGTCTTTCAAACATAGTCTGAAACATTAGTTTCAAACATTAGTTTTTACACAGTTTTACCAAGGAACTTTTTTTTGTTTGGTTTTGTGAATTAAAATGGGGAAACGGGAGTAGGTCGTTACTCTGCTGTGTAACACTGGTATTTTAAGCAGCTGAAATTTTGCAGTTTATATGTTAATAGCATAGGCTTTTGTGTTCCCATTTCTGGATCTCTTCATGGCCCATAGTCATTTCCCATTTCTGTGGGTATCTCTTCCATTTTCTTGTGGATGGTGTGTCAGTGGTTGAGTATTTCCTGTGTACTTTGTGCTTGGCACTAGGTGCTGGGTCATGTTTTACTGCAGGATGACCTGAATTCTGCAGAATTCTGAGATAACAATCTTAAGTTATGTCAGAGTATAAATTAAATACAAAATAGGGTGACCTTGATGTCAAGAGATTTGCACTGATAACTGCAGGAAAGTTACAGTATTTGGCACTCGAGAAGATGCAGAAAACTTTAGTACAGAGAGGGGGATTGTGTCCTGTTCTTCTCTTTCTCTTGGTGGTTAACTTACTACTTCATGAAATAATGACATTCTGGGGGATACCTCCACTGACTTTTCATCTTCAATAACAGGTCTCAGTATCTCTCTGGAGACCCTGCTGAACATAGTTACTGTTGAGTGCTCTCTTGCATACTGATTAATCGGGATAGCTTGAGAGCATCATTATCTGCACTTTTTCCATGATTGTATCAGATGTATTCACACTCTTCTGTAGGGTTTCTGTTTTATTCTGATGTTGGGTTGAACATTTTTCTAGTTTTTGAACTCTAATGGCAATATCCAGCATTTAGTTAATTCTTTTCACCAGAAGAGGAGTTACCTAGACAGAGAATAGCTTTGCTTTGTTATTCTTTCCTTTTCATCAAATGAATTTATTCATCCAGTCTTGGCTTGAGCAGAAATAAAAGGCTGACTGAAAACACACTGTTATTATACATAATACTGAACAGAGGCTGTTATGTATAGGGCATACATTTTAAAACATAGTGTCGTATGTTGTACATTCTTGCTTTTAGGTTTGTGGCTACAGAATACGACTCCATTTTGATGGATATCCAGATTGTTATGATTTCTGGGTGAATGCTGATTCTTCAGACATTCATCCTGTTGGATGGTGTGAGAAAACAGGTCACAAGCTTCATCCACCTAAAGGTATTGTTTAGTTTGAAATGTGTGCATTTTGAACATGGTGAAACTCTACTTAAAGTCTTGCTAAAATCTTGAGATTGAAATCCTGCTTTTTTTATTCAGTGGAAATTCAAAGAAAACAGGAAAACAAAATGAACCGTAAGAATAGTTCAGAAGGCATTAGGAAAGAATGTTAAACAACAAACCTAGACCCCAAGTGAATGCTTATTGCAAGTAAAATGACAGTGTACTAGTGACAGGCATGCTTGAACTGAGATTTCACAGGCAGCTGAGGATTCTTTAGTAGAAAGTCTTAGGATATTTTCATTACTAGATACTGAGTATCGTTACTGTGTGTCTGTTGGCACAGACTAGTAAAGATTGTCTTCTTGCCTCAAAGAGTAAGCTTGAAGTAGAGACAAAAGAGAACAGAAAAGGAGGGAGAATTATGCCTGAAAGCATAATTTGTACATACTTTATGTAAATTGTATATCTGTGTAATTTTCTTGCTCCATTATTCTATTTCAAATTATGTAACTTCTTCATTTTGGCAGATGGAGTACATAAAAAAGGAATAAATGGGCTCCATTTTGGGGTAGGAAGGGAATATGTGGGGATGAAGAGAGCAAGTCCTGAAGACAGGAGTGTGAGAAATAAATGAATGTGGTGTTTTGACATACAGAGTGAGGGTAGATAGCGTGGTTTCAAAAGACTGAAAAATGGTGAGTCAAGAGGATGTATTATGGAAAATTACAAATCTGTGGATGTAACTGCAAGGGTGGAGAAGGTGAGAGTAAGGCTACTGCAAGTGTACAGGCAGAGGGCCTGTCAGTGTGGAAGAGCGTGGCATTTCTGCAGCTGAGCCTTGGAGGAGTATGTGCTGCTCTTCTGAGCACTTCACTCTGGCTACGGGCAGGAGTGCTCTGTGCTGCTGCTCCAGTACAGGAGTTTTCATTGGGCATAGCCCTGTATAGCTGGCTGTGTGGAAATAGCAATTTCTTGAACACAAATCAATTTCTCAGAAAGTTGCCCTCCACTGAAGTAATGTTACATCTAACTAATGAGTAGTCCCAAGTTATAAAGTTACTGATGTTGTTACAGCATGCTTAGTAAGTTTGATAACTGTGATGAAGGTTTGTCATCTTTTCCATCTTAAATGCCTGGTTTTGAAAGCTTAAACTTTTATTAACAATAAATTGTTGCTGCTAGAGGAAAGCTACTGTCTGTCTCTGAGTAACTTGCATGAAAATTTTCTTCAGTTTCTCTTCTAGTTTGAAGTTGGCAGGAGGATTGTTCTACTGTGGTGGTTTTTTTTTCCCACCATACTAAAGTATTGTCTTTTACTTAGAAAAGTCATGGAGCCTATCAGAGGTATTGAGGGAGACACATTAGGAGTATATATGATGGTAATTCTCAGGGTTGTGATTGTTATCCTCTACAGCTATGTAATCCTGCCATCCCCAAGACATATTCTTGGTTTTGGATATCAGCACTGTTCTCTGGTATTTTTATCTAAAACCTGCAAAGTGCTCTGCCCTTTGCATGGCTTGGCTCTGTCACTTCACCTCTGCGGTAACCCATTTCATCATTGGTGAGGTATGATGTGATTGCTGAAACCTGCTCTGGTCCTTGTGGGACTTCTGTTGTCCCAGTACAAGCCTAGCTTGCATGTGGGATGGAAGGGGACTAGGAAGGAACAAGCAATATGGCAGAGTCATGCATTGGAAGGAGGCTGAAGGCAAACAGCCGTTCATGAGTTAAATATATTTTTTTCTAGTTTTTCAGCAGGAGGACATTCACTACTTATGTTTTACTGACATTTGTGGAGTCCTGTTATTCCAAGGGGAGGGAGAAGATGCCGGTCTTAAGTTGTGAGCGTTTTTTGTGCATTTTTACTGGGTTGGACAGATTGCTTGTGTTTTGCTGTGGTATGGCATTTTAATAATAGTGCCCATTTCAAATCATACAGACAGTAAAGGTGATGCCAATAATGACATAGGGCACAGTATGTTATATAGAATACTAACTCACAGAAGAACTCAAAGGTTTGCATTAGTAGCCATTAATTTTCCAGATACAATGCAAACTTCTGATCTTTATGGTATGTACTGTAAACTGCTTGGAACCTGGTGGCCTGAGAAGGGAGCAGACAGTCCTGACATCTTTCTGTGTAGTACAGCCCTGGTTAATCATTCCTGCAGGCTTGGGCAGAATTGACCTTTTTCACAGGAGGGGGTTGTAAGGAGCATATGCTCCTGGGAGATTTTGGAGCCTGGTAATTGACTCCTTGTTTTCTGAGAGGATGGGGTGGGTATCTTTCCAAACAAGTGTAAGTCACTCTTTCATTGTGAAGGATGGGAGGCTATTTATTGTGATGGGAGAGGACTGGGGAGAGGGGCTGTGAGGGACACGAGAAAGAAAGAAAGAAACAATATTGTTATAGATGTTTTCTGATAGATATTTGTATCCTTGTTTATTAAAACAGAAGGGACAGGTAATTCTCTGTGCTACCGGGCATGGCAGGCATCACGGCAGAGTGTTCCCCATCCCCGTGGTGGCAGAAGCAACAGGGAGCTGCCACTGGGCATCCAACAGACAAAGGGGAGCACAGCTGCAAAACCAGACTGGGCTTCACTAGAAGAAAAAAGATGGTGTTTCATGATGCTCTTCATTCTGAGGATAGAGGAGGTTACTTTTTTGTCTCGTGGAGGTGAAACCTGTAGGCTCAGTAGTAGTCAGCAGTGAGCCCTGACAGCCAAGAGGGCAAACCACATCCTGGGGTGCATCCAGCACAGCATAACGAGCTGGTCAAAAGAGGTGATTATCCCACTGTATTCACTGTTGGTACAGCCTCACCTTGTGTGCAGTTCTGGGCCCCACAGTTTAAGAAGGATGTGGAGGTCCTTGAATGCATCCAGAGGAGGGCAACAAAGCTGGTGAAAGGGCTGGAAGGAATGTCCTGTGAGGAGAGGCTGAGGACTCTGGGCTTGTCTAGTTTGGAGAGAAGGAGGCTGAGGGGTGACCTCATTGCTTGCTACAGCTTCCTGAGGAGGGGATGTGGAGAGGAAGATGCTGATCTCTCCTCCCTGCTATGCAGTGATAGGATGTGCAGGAATAGTCCAAAGCTGTGCATGGGGACATTTAGAGTGGAAGCATTTCTTTACTGAGAGGGTGGTCAAACACTGGAACAGGCTTCCTAGAGAGGTGGTCAATGCCCTGTCAGTGTTTAAGAGGCATTTAGACAATGCCCTTAACAACATGCTTTAATTTGGTCAGCCCTGAATTGGTCAGGCAGTTGGACTAGATGATAGTTGTAGGTCCCTCCCAATAATAGTCTAGTCTGTTCTACTTAATGAGTTCTATAATTCATGTTAGCCTTCACATTATGTGTTTGTAAACTGACTGGAAATTAATAAAACCCATAGTTAGTGAATACTGTTCTATATCTACAGTGAGTAAATCAAATTCACCTTTGGTCCTTTTTTGAGAGATGAGGTAAGAGCTAGAGATCTTCCTTTCTCACTTGATCACTGGAAGACCCACACTGTCCAGAGAGTGTTTCCCAATCTACTGAAACCAATTTTCTTTTCCATGGACTTTGTCCCAGTCTCAGTACCTGATCCCATCATACATGCAGTAGGTGGGAGTTTTGTGCTGTTGACTGTGAGACTTGAGGTAGGTTTGAATATCTTCTAGAATTACAAAGGGAAAATTAAGCCCTCAATACCACATTCCTTTAAAAATTATTTTAACTGTTCTGCAGCTCTAGTGTATCAAGACAAGAGGCAATTGGAGTATAAAGAAAAGTATCATTGTTTGGACTGGGAGGTTAATTTATGTTAGCTGATATTTAAAAAGAAAACTGAGAAAGGCATATGTGGAGAAGGTGAATTTAAAGGATTATTTACTTGTGGTTCCTTGGGAAATATGAAATTCTCAGAAAGTTAAACAGAGCTGTTTTCTGTGGCGTACTTCAGTAATACTTCAAATAGTCAAGAAGTGACACTTTTCAGTGGTTAAGGCAGTCACTCACTGAAATTGGTGGTGGTTTTGGTCTTGTTTTACTTCATTGTAACATAGGAACTAAAATAGATATTCCTTTAACTTATTTAACATATATAACAGGCAAATAAAGGAAAAAGACTTTGTTTACAACTTTTAACATTGTTTTATAGACTAGAAGTACAAACGGTTTCTTACTAATTATTTTATGCAGTTCAATATACTAGGAATTATTTTTTCTTTAAGAAAGTAGAAGAGACAAATATCAGCAGTAATACAGATTTCTTTCCAAGTGCTGTAGGCACATAATAAAAAATGTGGGATGTCCATGCAGGGGACAGTTTATATGTAAATACATAAGGGGTTCTGGGTCATTGATGGTGTAAGTAACTGTTTTGATAAAACATAGGGAGTTTGTTTTAAAGCTAGTAGTGGTCATGCTGTATTAGTGATAGCCTGAGGAGGTAGTAAAGTCTAGAGGAGGAGGGAATTTTTTTTTTATTAGACTGACTGGCATAGTGGGAAGAGGTTTGAGGCCTGTAGGCCCTTTGCTGTTTCTGAACTAGAAGCAACAGGTGGAAAGGCAGCTGGAGAGCACTTGCCCCAAGCTTGTTGGTTGTGTGTGTGTGTTAGGCCGCCAAAGGAAAGTTGGTTGGTACGTGTGAGGTAGAGAGGTGATATAGTGTGGTTTTTGGGGGGAGAGACAGGTGACTCGTGGTCTGTGCTACCTGGAGAGATTTGTTTGAAGGGAGGGAGATTATACTATAAAACTGGTATCTTACTGAGGCTGATTTTTGGTACCTGGTAGAATTACAGATTTTAGTTTCTAGGCTCTCCCTACATTCTGCCCCTTGAGGACCTTCAGTTCCCTTGGTAGCCAGGACCGAGAGGTTGGTGTTCAGGGATAGAGCAGTGATTTTCTAACAAATACACCCCAGGTTGTTTTGAAGATGAAATTGAAACTGAGCTGAAATATACTGAGTTCTTGCCTAGTTCTTTATTTATGACTATTCTTCTTCCCAGATGAAGATTAGGAGCAGTTCAAATGTCAGTCTTAGCAAACTATAAGAAACAAATAATGGACAGAGTATTTTGCTCAGTGTTAAGAAAGTTTGACATTTTGGTAAGGAAGCTCAGACAGCCCTAAATAAAGAACATGATTCCTCATACCAGATGCTGAATAATCCTAACCAGTGCTCCCTGAGAGACTTGTTGAGTTCACATTGGGATAGAATTAATAAGTAGTTTTAAAGTAAATTTTCCTAGTGTAGTTGATATAAAATTAGAATAAATAGTTAATAGTGCATCATCTTTTCAATTTTGAAGTTGTACGAAACAGTTCAGAATGGAATGGAAAAAATAATTTCATCAGTTATGATCAAATCACCTGCATGCACCTTGTGTCTCATGCCTATCATTTCTTGCCCTTCTTTTATGACCCTCATTTAGGATATAAGGAAGAAGAATTCAGCTGGCCCTCGTACCTAAAGGCATGCAAGGCTCAAGCTGCTCCTAAATCACTGTTTGAAAACCAGAATGCAGTAAGTACTCACTTGTTACTAATGGTATGGAAAGTTGCTAGTATGCTTATGTGTGTGGTAGAGACAGCACATTTCAGTGATGGCAGACTTTGACACCTGGAATTTAAGATAAAAATGTTTACAACAAATTCAGTAACAGTTTCCAGTTCACCTCTTCAGTTCTGATCCATTAACTTTTTACTCATCTGTTTAAACATCTGATCTGGCACATTCAGAAATGGTATATTAAATGAAAGTTAAGCCTTGTTATTAGTACTGTACAGTCTCGCACTGTAATGTTGTGGAACAAGCACAGTCATTTGTAAAAAGTATCTAAGATTTAAAACCAACACATTTAATTTCAGCAGCATGTTCAGGGCTTTTTTTGTTTCAAAACCCACAAGTCTCTATGTTTGAGCATCTCACATGTCAACTAATTAGGCTGCTGCCACTCTGCTGGGGCAGCTAATTAGGAAACTTAGAAATGGCATGAATATACTGACTGTGGACACTGGGGAGATTTCTGGATTTATAGTCTTTATCTTCAATTAAATGTCTTTCTCTATGTAGACAGTCATTCCATCGGGATTTCGAGTGGGGATGAAGCTGGAAGCTGTAGACAAGAAGAACCCGACTTTCATTTGTGTTGCTACGGTAACAGACATGGTGGACAATCGTTTTCTGGTTCATTTTGACAACTGGGATGAGAGTTACGACTACTGGTATGTTTTTGTTTTGTATCCTAGTGAGACATATCAGAAATGTGTTAGCTTTAAGCACTGTTTTCTGTGATACTTTCCAGACTGTCGATACAGTTACCATACCAACTTTTGCAAGATTTGTAATTGTGGCCACCAAAGCATGTCTCAGTGGCAGACAGGAGGAGTCAAATTTCCCATGTCAGGTTGCACCTAAAAAATGTCAAGATTCTGCTAAATGAGTGTTCACGTGTGCTGCTGCATCTGGAGTTGTGTAATTGAAATGAGAAATTAATCTACAATATCTCTGAGGTTGATATCTTTATTGAAGAATATGCATCATGATAAGGTGACTGACTGTACTTGGAATTAGGTTTACATACAGTTGTAAATTGAAAGAAGGGCTGCTTTTTCTCATAAGATTCTTGATCCACTTGTGCTGTTCAGTTTGAACCTTAACCATCTTCTGTAAGGCATCAGGATAGTGGCAAAACCTGGTTTTAGTCTTTTGTGTTCTACATTTCTCTGAAAATTTGGATCCTGCTATCCTGACCTGTGTTAGAGATGACCTTTCTGCATTTTGTATGGTTGAGGGGCTTTGTGTAGCTATATAGAAAAGTCAGTGGATGGAGAAGCACATGCTGTGAGCATCAAGATCCTGAAGGAAATTCAGGCTTTGGCTGTCATAGTGCAAGTTTGTATTTTCACTTGCATATTCTTTTGGCAGGTCACCTAGAGCAAAGTAATATACCTTACACTATTAGAAGAGCAAGTTACTGCAGAACAAGTAGAACATTGTAAGCCTACAACTTGGGTTCAGTAGTGGCAACTTATTTATACAGCTGAGCCTGTAAAAATAAATGAAAGTTTTCTTCATCTGTGTTTGATGACTGGGTAAGCACTACATCAATGAGAACAATGTGAAACTATTATGTAACTTCAAAACTTTGGGACTCCATCTCTTGAAATACGTATAGTATGGGTTACATGATGAATAAGCTGTAGGAGAACTAAAATGTTGAAGCAGCATTTCAGTGAAGTCAAGAACTGAATATCAAGATAATAGGCCATATGAGTCAAAGACCAGAAAGATCAGTTATTATTTCCATGAAGAAGTAATACAGAACATATATTTCCTCTACAAAGCAACAGAAAACCAGGGACTGGGAAAAGGTGTTCTGAATTTCCTGATATTTGAATGCTCACTAATAATAGTTATGCCATTAATTAATAATGAAAACAGCAGTTAGGCAAGGCTTTTAGGACAAACACAATGCAATATAATCTGTAGTTTGTTCAGAGGTAGCATACGTATCTCTCTAAAACATTGCACAGTGTATAGTAGTTGTGCACTGAATTTCAGGCTTGCTAATATTCCCATGTCAGGAGAGTTTTGTCCCCCAGTCTTCTCAGAAGAGGGAAAAGCAGTTTTTGAGTACATAACCAGGCTTTATATTTTTGAAGTAGTAGTATTCTGAAGTGGGTTTTCTGAATTTCATATGTAGAACATGAAATAATACCTTCTTAAAGGATGAGGCAAAATTGAAGTGGAGAAAATGTATAGGTGTTTGAGAAATCGCTGGAGCTATATTTATACCAAAGCCAAGCTGAAGATTTGTTCTTTTGGTGAGATCATAAAATACCTTTCTGGAAGAAGCAAGAAGATGTTTCCAGAAATACTGTTCATGGAAATTAAATTCTGAGTGTCATAATCTACCTCTCTACATTGCTGTCATTGAGAACAAGAGTGAATAGAGGAGGAAGGAAAGAAAATGGGAGAAAAGAACAGCAAATGAAAATAGCAGCAGAATGTCGGACCAAAAGAGAGCCTGAAAATGCATCCTGAATGTATCCCACTTACATTTTTAATTTTAGATACCAGGTTTGTAGGGGCCTTAAAATATCTTAGGTGCATAAGTTTCACATCTACCAACCGGTATTTGTAACTAAAAAATGAAGAGTGCTGTTGGGATTGCCCAGAGTGGAGCCTCACAGTTCCCCTCGCCTGTATTTAAATTTCAATCTCAGAACTATAATGAAGGAGAAGCGATGTATTTAGTGTATGCAGTTGATTATTTTCAAACAAGTACTTCTTTTTTTTTCTGTATACCTTTTGTGATTTAGTTCGTTTGAGTAGATTGAACATTTTCATTGAGGTTAAAAATCCTTTCCTCTTTTTGGATAACTAAAAGACAGTTGACTGATTTTACTGGACTTCAGGCAACAGAAATTTGTTACCATCACCTAAGCTTTTTTAGGCTTCACGCTTTCAGCCTGACTTTTTCTTGAGCATTAGAAGATACGTTAATGGTTGAAAATAAGTACCCTGGTGTCATGGTTTCGGCCCAGCTGGCAACTTAGCACCACATGGCCATTCCTCCCCTCAGTGGGATGGGTAGGAGAATCAGAAGACAAAGGTAAAAACTCATGGGTTGAGGTAGGGAGAGTTTAATAGACAACTCAAGGAGAGAAGAAATAATAATAACAATAATACTAATGAAAGAATGTACAAAATGAGTGATACACAAATTGCAATTGCTCACCACCCGAAACCTGATGCCAAGCCTGTTCCCGAGCTGTGATTCCTGCCCACCCTGGCCAGCTCCCCCAGTTTATATACTGAGCATGATGTCATATGGTATAGAATATCCCCTTGGCTGGTTTGAGAAATGATTCTTATTGTCTGACTCAGTTCTTTCTGGGGAGCCATGTTGCCATAAGACTTGCTTTTCAAGTCCCAGAACACTGTTCTGGGTGGTGGCACAGGGCATGGGATATGCTTCCAGCCATTCGGTGGTTGCTTCCACCATTGTAAGCACACAGTGCTTGTCTTGGCGGGTTTGTGGGAGTGTGATATAGTCAGTCTGTCCAGGGCTCAGCATATATATATTTCAGCCAGTCCTCCATACCACAGAGGCTTTAACCACCTGGCTTGCTTGATGGCAGCATGTATTTCACATTCATGCATAACCTGTGCAATAGTGTCCATGGTCAAGTCCAGCCCTCGGGTCATGAGCCCATCTATATGTTGCATCTCTTCCTTGATGGCCTGAGGTGTCATGGGCTCACTGAGCTATAAATAATTTACCCTCACATTGCCAGTCCAAATCCACCTAACCCACTTCAATCTTAGCAGCCTGATCCACCTGATGGTTGTTTTGATGTTCTTCAGTGGCCTTACTCTCAGGTATGTGGACATTTATTTGGTGTACTTTCACAACCAGCTCCTCTGTCCAGGCAGGAGTATCTTGCCACAGTGGGGCAGCCCAGATGGGTTTGCCTGTGTGCTGCCAGTTGCTCTGCTTCCATTGCTTCAACCACCCCCACAAGGCATTTGCCACCACCCATGAGTTAATATAAAGATAGATCATTGGCCATTTTCCTTGATCAACAATGTCTAAAGCTAGCCGCGTGGCTTTCACATCCACAAGCTGGCTTGATTAACCTTCTCCTTCGCTACTGTTGTGGTAGTGATTAGCACCTGTTGTTCTTCAACCCTCAGCAACACCACAACAGAAGGCTCCTCCAAGAGACCAAGCAAGTTAGACAACTGTTCAGTTTTCTCCATCTCCAAGGCCCACTGTTACCCTTTTGGGTCCTTGAAATACCCTCTCCTGAGGTAGTCTGTGCCAAGGATGCATGGAGCCTCTGGGCCAGTCAGAATGGAGTGTCACTCCTTCCCAGATAGACTCACTTCCACTTTCAATACAGTTAGCTGTTGGGATCCCCCTCTCCAGAAACACCAATGGGTTCCGCTGCTTTATAGCTAGATGGGACCAGGGTACATTGTGCACAACTGTCTACTAGACCCTTATACTCCTGACGTGCCAGGCCATTGAATCCACACAGTCCAATAAACCCAGGTATCCCTTTCCTCCACCTGGCTGGAGCCAGGGCCTCTCTAATCCTGTTCATAGTATTTGTTACTCACTTTTTGTGAACATGAATCAGAAGTCCCTTCAAGAAGATCAGAAGTGAGATCAGCCCTTCTACTCTGTCTGGGGAACTACCCACTGGAAACTGGAGTGGTATTTCTCAGGGAAGAATCCCCTTTTGTGATTGTTTCTCCTTGCAGCTCATGTACCTGTGCCTCTAGAGTGGAGGTAGGTTTTCTATCCCACTCCCTCATGTGCTCTCTGTGGTCACACAGGTAAAACCACAGGGTATCCCATGGTGTGTACCTTCTATATCTTCTCTCGTGAGCAGAGGAATGCTTACTCATAATAGCTGAGATACAGGCCTGTACAGGTTGGTGGCAGAACTAACTCTTGAATCACTGGAACTATCGGGACAGTTTCTCAACTAGCATGTCTGGCAGTTTATCCAGAGATGAGATGCAGGCCCATAGGGAAGAAGAGAGCATTCCTTCACATTGCTGGAGTTGGCCAGCCGCTTCATCCGCCATTTGTTCTTTGCCTTCTTTTCAGGACACTACTGCCAATGAGTTGTCATATGACAGTGGTGCACTTCATAGAAACTTCTGCCACATGGGCTGTGTGCATTGGACTTCATCTGGATCTGTGGGGAACTGCTCAGTGTTTGGATCATTATAAATCACTTCCAGCACAGCTTGTTCCCTCAGGTACTGGATACCTCTCTCCATGGTGGCCCAGTTACCTGGGTGACATGTAACATCTTCCTTGAAGGGATCCTTTTCCTTCACTCCTGAATGAAGTCTCCAGAGGCTGAGGGCTTGTATCTTTCTTCCAATTGTCTTGTCAATGCCCCCTTCCCTAGACAGGGATCCCAGCTGCTTGGCTTCCTTACCCTCTAATTCCAAGCTACTGGCTCTGTTATCCCAGCATTGGAGCAGCCAGGTAACAAGATGCTCACTGTGGCGGCTGAAATCCTTTTGCATATCTCACAGCTCATTCAGGGGTAGGCATCGGGTGAATATCTCTGCTTCTGCCTCTTCCTCCTGTTCTCATGATGACCCTGGTTCACCCAGGACACCTGGCTAGTATTAGACGCTGCTATAGCTCTTTAATGCATGGTGGTCATACTTTCAGTGCATTATAAATCCC